GTACATGACACCTGTTATGGGGTGTCCTCGTTTAAGCCCACTTCAAACGGGTTCCTGTGTTGCCGTACTGGTCACCCGCCGCCTCCGCCCAAAGCTTGACCTCAAGGGGTTGACACCTTGACGCGGTTGGGGTGGGAATTTCTACGTTAAGGATTGTTGTTTACATGTAGTAATAGGACTGACTTTCTGTCTCTATGAGGATTTTTTTTCCTATAGATGCCATGTCACGTTGCCATGTTTGTAAACGCCATTTGCGCTGTACCAAGGGGACTCGTATGTCAGTAGTTACTCGTGTTTTTGTCATAAACCGACTTCCCAGGACATCATACACTCTAATAACCACGTCTGTCTGTAAATGTTCTCTTTTATCCATGTACTTTCTTGGCAAATAAAAGGATTGTTAAAGCACCGATGTCTCGTAAGATCATCTAATTTAGCTTCACAAAATGACATACAAGCTCAGTGATTTCGACCCCACTGTGTGCTCCTCAACTCGACTAATTTCACTTACCAAACACGTTCTGGCGAGCCGTCTTTTGTGTAAAGCTTGTTTTTCGTTTTTATTTCTACGGTATGGTACGTCTATGTGTACTTGTAAAGTGCCTTGATGACTTCGAGGTGTGAAGATTGGCGGTGTGGCGCAGTCGGTTGTGCGTTGATTATCAGATCGAGAGCTGCGCCTGTAAAGCCGTTGTGTCCTTGGGAAAGACACTTCACCTGAATTTGCTCCTGTGGGTATTGTCCACAGTACATGACCATTACATGTATGTATGATATGTATGTGTAATGTGTATTTGTGAGGAGCGCTTTGGGAGTAATTGAAAAAGCGCTATAATAAATATAAGGATTATTTATACAGCAGTGTAAGGATTACATGATATGGTTAAGGATTTGTAAAACTATAAACATATTTTCACTGGTGGAATGTAATGAAGGTGGACAAAGAAATATGCTATATTATGATGCAATTAAAATGAAAGATGTTTTGGTTTTGGTTCCTTTACTTTACAGTTTGGAAACCAATATTGTCTGTTATACCCCACTACATTTATCTTATCTTTAGTTACAGATTATTAGCTGATAATAAACAAAATAAACCAATACAAAAACATTAAAACAAACTAACAGCTGAGAATATCCAACAATAGTATACCAAGTCATTCAAAATAGCTCCATCTTTACCAGCTTTGATGAACCCATTAAAGCTGCATTTGTGCGTCAAAAGTTCAGCATTAAATGAAGTCAAAGTTGAAAGGATTTGAACTTTGAGCGCAGTGCTGGTTGCATGACGCCTAGTTGGGCGGCACCACTCCTGTGGAGAGAGTGGAGTGGAGGGGGTCGTAACACTCCATAGAAAACGGCAACATCAGCCAGAGCAGCTTAATGTGTCACTGATCATAAATCAGTTATTTCATATACATGATTCTGAAACGGGCCATTGTGCTTAACAAATACTTGTACTTTTGATACTTCAAGTATATTTTGATGCCAAAACCGGCCTTAAACTGATATCATTATAAAACTGAGATGACTCGATCTTTATTTCTACATATTTTTTCATTAAAAAACTTACTAGGAGAAGTTTATTCTAGCCAGTTGTTGTTTATCATTTGAGAAAGTTGCATTAGTTAACTCAATATATGTGTGTATCATCACCAACTAATGGGTGCAATCACAGCCTAGCTTTACATGAACTTGTTCGCAGCAAAGACTTCCGTGAGTTTGAGAACTTTCTTCAGCACTAAACTTTGAATCATTACATTACATTACATTGCATTTAGCTGACGCTTTTATCCAAAGCGACTTACAATAAGTGCATTCGACCAGGAAGATACAACCTTGAAGAAAACAGAATCATATAAGTACATCAGGTTTCATAGAACCAAACATTTCAAGTGCTACTCAACTGGCTTTAGATAAGCCAGCCCTTTATTAGTATATAAGTGCTTTGTTAGTAATTCAATCGCTCGAAGTGGAGTCTAAAGAGATGAGTTTTCAGTCTGCGCCGGAAGATGAATCATGACACAAACAACATGAATTATATAGAACACAAAAGCCTCTATTCATCTATTGAGACCTTTGCTGCACAATACAACAGAGCGTAAACACACAAAGACACAGAACATAGATCAAAAGTCTTGAAGGAGCTCAAATGAGATAATCCCTGACCTGACAGGTTCCTGTAGTGCGCTTCCATTTTCCTCTGGGGAGCGCGCACCTTTACATAAGCAGTGTAGTGGCCCCCCCGCATTGATCCACTATGTTCCACAATCCCGTACAAACTGTAGAGGACACGCTCACCGGCTGCCAGGCTCTAGAGAAAACGAAAAAGGAAGGTTAGCAAAAATGGGAAAGAAAGCTAAAAAAAAAGAAGGAATACACAGAGGGCTCCAGGGACAGTACCAACCAAGGACATTCAAAACAAACTGAACTGAATCCATTTCTAGTACACAGAATATTTCTTACTTTGCAGGAGGCCGAGCAGAAAGGAGCCAGGTCCAGGATCAGGGGAAAATCGACATGGCGGTTCACTTTTCGTAAGTTCATTCCTGCCTTCAAGTAAAAAAAGAGAACCACATACCGTCACAAAAATACACACTGAGTTCTGCATACAATACAACATGTGGCTACCTGCTCCGTTAAATGGAAGGCAAGAAAAGGCAGTGTGTGTCTCACCTGATGGAAGCGTTTCAGATGTAATGTGATGACAGGAGGCAGCGAGGATATGAGTATTTGCTTCCTAGCACTGGTGTAAATCTTCTCCATCTTCTTGTCTAAAGTCAACAAAAGAATACATTTAAATGAAAACAAGAAATTATGATTCATTCATACTAACGTATGAATCTTGCGGAAAAAAGGATTGAGTCAGTGATAAAGAGAGAGTGAAATATAGAAAGTGTCAATTACCAAAAAAAGTAAGATTCTAAAGTGTTCCTCATTTTGAAAATAGGAAGACTGGAATATGGAACTGATTTCAGGAAAAGGGGCCTCAGATTTAACTGGTACTCTGCTCCACACTCTGTCTGCTAGCTTTGAGGATTTATATTGTCATGTTTTGTTTTGTTTCAGAAGACCCCAATTTAAGATCATTTGTCAATATTGCAGTCTAATTAAATAAAAAGACTGTAATACAAAAAAGGAATTAAACCGCACAGTATGCTTTATTCGCAGGTAGGCTACTTGGTTACTCAAAGATCTTTGTGGTAGTATTTTGATCGTTGGTCTTACCGGCGGAGCTGCTCTTGCGCAGCTGTTTGTGTCTGCGCTCGGTGCAGTTCTCACACAGCAGCTTGTTGTTGCCCATCAGCAGCTCCACGGAGGTGAACTGGTGGAGGCAGGACTGGATGGAGCACTCCTTGGAGCTGGGCGTGTAACTTTGGGAAAGCGCCTGGAACGCCCCTTGGTGGTGCTGATGGTGGAGGTTAGAAGCCTCCTCTGGAGAGCAGTGTGTGGGGGGGGAACAGTCCCCGGAGGCGAAGCCGAGGTTCACTTTGGACACGGCGGTAACTAGCTGCTCCACAGCGCTGCCATGCTTCATGGCGGATGAAGGCGAGGGGGAGGTGGAGCAGGCGGGCGTAGGGGAGGGAGTGAGGGTGGAGGTGGACGACGGGGTGGTCATGTGTCCGTGGCTGTGGCTGGAGGAGATGCGCGGGGCCCACTCGCTCTCTGAGGCCTCGCTGTCAGCGTCATTGCTGCTGTCCTGAGGACCAGAGTCTCTCTCACTGGCGTCTGATAGGCTGCCGGCGGCGGCCATCTTGCAAACAGAGATCCCGCGGGCAGATCCAGCAGGTATGCCCTCCTCCTCCGGCCGATCCAAACTGCAGCTTACTCCCTTCTCTTCCACAGAACTTGAAGACCTCCTGCTCTGCTGCTTCTAGAGAAAAGAAGAAGGACAAATACATTAGTCCACTTCAGAGCTGCAGTATCAATTGTACATGTTAGTGTTGAGGGTAAAAGGATCTTGTTTCATATCCAATAAGAGTTGCTCCCCCTACCTGCGCACCCAGCTTTTTGGTGTTTCTGTTGACAGAGTGCGCTGCAGACTGAATCTGGTCACTGTGCGTCACCTGGGCCTCCTGCTCCCGGACAACCTTTCCTAGCCTACTGGGGTTGGATGGTTTTGACATCTGATGGCGAAAAATGATCGATCATCAGTTTTAAGGGGACCATAAACAATATTGCATAGCCTTTTCTGATAAAAGAAACATGCATTTTGCATGCAAGAGAACATGCAATACACAAAATTAATCTCATCATCTGTCAAAAAACTGTATTTTCATACTCATTAAATGGATAGTTTAGATTGTTTGGCTTGAAGTCAAATAAGGTACTTAGATGGCAATTGGAAATACCCCATTTTTTAAAAGCCAGCAGCAAAACCACCTTTAAAAATTCAGTTTAAGTGTACACTATATTTAGAATATTTTCACCAGTTTATCCCTTTCAGAAAGCTTTCCAATCGTGGTAGTAAAACAAGAATTCCTGTGATCTGTGAGGTAAAATAAGTGTATTTGTCAATGGAGTCTGGTGGCTTAAAAGAGAAAATAGATGACGGCTTTAGGTCCTTGTCTTGAGGGCTTTTTTTTCGCAAGGTAAAGTGATTAAAATATTTGAATTATAGCACACACAATGTTTTGGTGGCTTACATCTTTTGATCCTTCCCTCCTCTAAAGCTGTACATTTCTTTACTCCTTTATCTATAACTTCTAAAAACTGGGTACGTGCTGCCCATTATCAATGGCATTGACTATGGATAAGTACCTCATTCCACCCCACTTCAAAAAACCTGAACTATCCCTTTAAGTTAAGTCTTTTAATGTCAATTGCACATAATTTCTCATGAACAATTGTAGCAGCTCACCCTCTCCTCTATGATAGGTAGAGATATGTCTATGAAAGCCTCCTTCACGGTGGAGATCTGAAACAGAAATCACATGTTAGTCCCTGCCAGGATTTATATATAGCACCATTTTGGAAGAAATTATAGTCGGGTTTTTAACAGCAAACCTCTGCTCCTTTTAGAGACAGTTTTTTTGGTTGCTTTTTCCTCTCCAGCTCCACACCTGGTGCTCTTTTCCTTCAAGGATGTTCGTTAGTTTTTCAACGTGGTGTTTGCTTTGTTTAAAACTCGGAGCTCCCAAATTTGATTCGAAACACCAAACAGTTGGTGTTCAAGCTGGTCCTTGAGGGGCTTTTCTTGTTTTGTTTTTCCTGTTGATTGTATGTTTTCTCTCACTTATTTTTCAGTACATCCTGTGTGGGAATCAGAATCAAACCTTAACCCTGAAAGTAACTAGTAAGCTAGAAAAGAAATAGAAAGTTGATGTTGGTTAGCTTCACCTCGGGTCAGTGACAAATATCTGTCAATGTATTATTGACAGAAGTATTGCTGGAAATTGTATGGCAGGCAATCTTGCCTATTGTGAGTCCTGCAGCGATATGAAATGGAAAAAGATGGTTTTCCTTACAACGTTTAACTGGGTAACACAATGAGTGTATATAAACCTACTCTACCACCCTGTGCATTATATGTGTTTCATTTAGGGCATCGCATTGAGCTGCGCCTAATTGGTTCCCACAGACTACTCTATGGATCAGAAACATACACTTACATGCTCGCACTCTTCACACATGATCGTGTTTGTCAGCTCCCCTACAAAGATGCGGTCAACGAAGTTCATCTTCACGCCTTCCTTTCCGTACGCTAGTGGGAGAGAGAAACATCGTTTTGAAAAGAATTATTTAAGGAATCATTTTCTTGCAGTAAAAAATATTGGTCATTAGTAGAGGAAACATTTGATTAGCTTCTTTGCAAAAAAAACATACAGATGTAGACATGGATGGGTATAGTTAAGATTTTAACGGTACTTCTACTCTTACCGATACTGCTTATCGATCAAGTACTTTAAGAGTATTCTCATCGGTTGTTTTTGTTATTTTTCAAGGGGAAAACTAAACAAATGTATTATTGAAAATTCAATTCAATTCAAAAAGTCAATTTCTTACAGCAAACAAAACAGCAGTGTTTTTAACAAATCATTATAGACTAATGGTGTGATGAAGGGAATGTAAAACAAATAAACACTAATTTACTGCAAAATAATTAAATATGTTTACCTTTAATCATCAACCCATGTTTTTAGAATTTAGTTTACTCTGTGATTGCTAGTAAGGGTTTACATAGAGCATTTATTTCACTTATGACAATGAGCCTTGTAAAGTGTAACCGTATTTTTGAACACGTCATTCTCCCGCCATCATCACTAGCGGTCTCTGTTTTAGTGTGCTGCACTGGGCTGATTTCCTTTGTGGACTTGAAAGAGCCCAAATGCATCAAAGGCACATTTTGTCATCTTGCAAATTAGAATTATTGTCTGTTTAGGTTTATTCAACAAAGACTACACTCTGCCGCCTTTGCCTTGTGAAAACTGAGCTGTACTTCCATCACCTGCCACAAGATGGGGATATTGATCTTGGCCATTGTCACTGGAGTCTGTAAACTGTTAGTACCTTTAACTTGGCGTTTAGTGTCCTCATCTGCTGTCTTCTCTGTGGGATTGTTGAAGGCTTTCAGAATTGCGGCTTTCACCCTCTGTACACAATAAAAACAAACACACAAAAAGTTAAAGAACAATTCAGACTAAAAACATATTTCTAGATGCGAAATTATCAAATAAAAAATCTAAATTCACTCCGGGGTGTTTTTCTTGCTCTCCATTACATCCATTAGTGAAATATCAAAATGTATCCCGCAGCTCAGTGTGACAGGTATACATATTATAAACATCATTAGTGTAAAAATAATTATTGTGCCTGTCGAGAAACGTTAAATGTCTTAATTATCAGTGCGTGTTTGTGTGTGTCTATGAGCTGTTTGCTCTCATCGAAGGTGACGTGGTCAGCGAGTGTGTTGGTGACAGAGCTGTGAAGAGCCGCACAGCCGCAGTAAAGCAGCAATCAATAGATAATTGGCCACGGTCTGTGTCTGTGGTCGAGACCAGTCGGGCCCCCATTGTCCCGGGACCCACGCACTGGACTGGCTATTTAGGTCAAAAGTCCTGTTAATCCTAGCCGGGGCCAGCGTGCACCCCTCGCAGTCGGCAGTCAAACCCTCCCCTACTAATTAATTACCAGTAACCGCCCTCACCCCCCTCCCATAAAGTAACAGCGTGCACTGTCCCACACAGAATGGGCCAAGGGGAGGGGGGAGTTGGAGAGGGTTTGCTGGTAGATGGGTGCAGGGGTGGAAACTAAAACGAAGACGGGGCGAAGAAGGACAGTCCATGCCCTGAGAGAGAAATACCTACCGTCTCAGCTAATTGGTGATAATTGACTGGGGCCAAATTAGCATATTTAGATCTCTGATACTAATGGCCAATCAACACAAACACTTAGGGCCTCTAAATGTTGGTGACACCCTCTGCGAATACTACCAGTCTCCCTATCTTGCACACTCACGCAAGACGGTGTGTGACTGTACTCAAAAATTTAAAATGTACCTTTTCAAACGCTCGCCAAGTTTAGATCAATTGCTGTTAGTTAAATAAAAAAATGCTGTTTGATGTTGTCCAGTGTTTACATATTAACAACATTGATACAATTAATTTGATCTTAATTTAAAAAGTGTGTTATTGTTTAATATTTGCGATAATTACAAAATTATTTTCAATAATCTCGGCTAAAATGCCACTGTATCTGTAAATGTGCTTGGCTGTATAGATGAGTTTCTGAGTGAATGAATAGAGGAGGCCGTACCCCCCCTCCCTCTTTACTGCCTTGATTGGATTGGGAGACTGGCTGATGAGTGTGTGTGTGCGTGTGTGTGTGCGTGTGTGTGTGTGTGTGTGTGTGTGTGTGTGTGTGTGTGTGTAGGCGGGGGCTGTGGGTAACCCTCAAGCACAATGCGACGACCCTGGAGCTCATTCAGCAGCTGTGGGTTTCCCAAGATCACACAATGATGCCGGTCGTGCCACTTGCAAGTCCCCTAAGTGGCACAACTGTCGGCGTTCACAAGTTTGAATGGGAAGCAAGGGAGCCTGGCCCGCAGCCCCTCCTGGGTCTGGGGGCTGACCACTAAAACACACCCGCCAACTTCTCCTCCTTGGTTCACACAGCCACTGGTGGGGCCACAGGGGCCTGCTCAGCCCTGCACAAGGGCTACTGTGGGGTTTTCTAATTGCCCTGTGAAGGGTTTTCGGGGGGAGGGTGGTTCACTGTACTTGCCAAAAACATGGCACCATAAGGTTTAAAACACAAAAACTGGCGAGCCATGCAAAAACAAGATTCCAGGTTATGTGAAAGCTTCACAAACACACAGCTGCACGTTTTACACACTAGACTACAATGGCTTTCAAAACAAACAGAGAGTGGTTAGATTGTTTTTTGAAGGGGCCTCATTATGCTAATTGTGAGGTTCAGATTTGTATTTTGTGCCTATACTGAGACATGTTTCCATACTTTAATGTTCAAAAAGGTCTGTATTTTACTGCCTGTCTTTTCACCCTCTGTCTGAAACCAGAGCCCAGTCTGCTCTGATTTGTTGGCCAGCTCTTTTGTGATTGGTCAACTGCTTACAGATTTCCTGTCCCTTAGCCTACATTTAAATGTGTAAATACCTTGAGCTTTGTTATAACCTGATTTAGAGAGTACATAAGGTGTCCTCACCTAGCACATTTCCTTCTTTCAAAATGCATTGGTTAAGATATCTCAAATACCTTGAGTACTTTGTACAGATTTGAAGCACCTTTCTGGAACAAAAATTGAAACTTTAACATGACAAAAGATCCCAGCCTAATGCATCATGTACTTGAAAAACCCTGTGAGCTAGGCTTTTGACAGTTATTAGACGTGGATGTGATAATATATGTAAGCTCACTTTAGTTTCCTCTACTCGTATGGAGTCCAGGAGGTAGTGCAGAAGCTCCTGGCTGTCCTGTTGTTGGTAGCCCTTGAAACGCGGAGCCCTAGAAAAAACACAAAAAAAAAAACATGGATGTAAATCAAGAACAATAGGACATAGAAAATTCAGAGTAGAACTGCAAAAGGAAGCAGCATATAGTGGAAAAAAAGTCTTCCTTTCAGGGCCCTAAACACATCTTTCTTCCAGAGATTCAAACCTGCTCCTTCTGCTTAGCATTCTGGGATTTCTAACAGGTTTATACCAGGGGGAATGAGGTCTCTTCACCAGTATGAAGAGGGCATATTTAAGCACACCAAGGATACAATAAACATGAAATATTGATATCATTTCAATTATATACTTAGGATAATATCATGTAAATATTCAAGTGCCTTTTAAAGATAATTGTAAATAATTGTATAATGAATAGCCAATTCAGACAACCTTGTTTACATTGGGTTATCCCTGAGGAATACGAAGAGCCATTAGAAGGTCAAACTACTCCAGAGAGAACAAAGACAATATTTATAATAGGGGTCGACCGATTATCGGCTTGGCCGATTATCGAGGCCGATATTCCGCATTTTACAGATTATCGGTATCGGCCTTTAGTCAATTTGCCGATGCAACTTTGGTTCTGATGCGGCCGTTTCTCTGGCTGCAGTCACCACTGTTCACGAGCAAAAAAAAAAGGGTAGCGTCTCGCAGCGGAGAAACTGTGACGCGCTGGGACGGCTGCTAGTGGAGTCTCGCAGCAACTCTGCTTTCTGCACCACAATCTGGTGCTGCTGAATTGGGACTACTAAATGAGTGAGACTCAAATATCAGAAGTTCAGAACAAGTTTTAGCAGTTTTTATTTTATTTTTACTTCATTTACTTTACTCAGGGTAGAGGAAACCAGTTTTAAGATGTTGAAAAGTTCATTAAACATAAAAAGGCATTTCAAAGAAGTTGTGTTATTCTACATTTTGACACCAAGATTTTCTGATTTTACCGCAAATGTATATCGGTTCCAAATATCGGTTATCGATCTCCTTGATTACTAATAATCGGTATCGGCCTTGAAAAAGCCATATCGGTCGATCCCTAATTTATAACTATAATACAAAATAAATGACACCTTCACCATGCTGGCAGTCAATGCATCGCCTTGGCTTTTTCTGATTAGAATGGTATTGCCATTTTGTTAATTGGCTAAGCATCCTGGACATTAATGCACAGCGGTTAGAGGGGAGGCTCTCCTTGGCTCCGTCCCCTGGCCGTCCGCACTGAAGCAGATGTGAGGACAGATGTCAGGGGCAGATGGGCAGCCGGGGCTGCAGCCACGGCAACCTGTTGGGGCAGAGCCCGCCACATAACCACAGGACAGGTTGGTCCGACAGGCACAAGACAGCAAGAGGTTTAAGTAAAATGTTAAAGATGGGTTTAAGGGAAAGGGTTAACCCCTTTAATATAACTGTGTAGGTATTTTACTGGTACTTAATGGACAACACCAGAGGCCTTTGTGGTGTAGTATTAACGCTTCTCCTGGCGTTTTAAAGAGTTAAAACATATATTTTTTGTATTTTGGTTTGACAATGCATATTTTATAGTAATGATTTACAATCGAAGAAAGTTTTAATATTCTAAGGCTACATAATTAATATAAATGGTATCACATTTGCAATTTGACTAGTGCATTATTAAAATTGTGGGAAGCCCCACATCTGTTAAAGGCTAGATACAGTGGGGCAAAAAAGTATTTAGTCAGCCACCAATTGTGCAAGTTCTCCCACTTAAAAAGATTAGAGAGGCCTGTAATCTTCATCGTAGGTATACCTCAACTATGAGAGACAAAATGAGAAAAAAAAAAGAAAATCACATTGTCTGATTTTTAAAGAATTTATTTGCAAATTATGGTGGAAAATAAGTATTTGGTCACCTACAAACAAACAAGATTTCTGGCTCTCACAGACCTGTAACTTCTTCTTTAAGAGCCTCCTCTGTCCTCCCACTCTGTTAACTGTATTAATGGCACCTGTTATCAGTATAAAAGGCCCAGATCACACCGGCCCGAAATCGCAGTAAAATGGGAGTCGGGCCAAACATGAGCGTGGGCACGGCCTATTCGGATTGGTGTGCCGCCGCACCGTCGGTCTTTTCTGCCGACCTGACGCTTTTCTTGCCGATTCAACATGTTGAATCGGCGTCGGGAACACCACCGGGAGTCGGACAAAGGGATAACACTGATTGGCTGTTTCAGCTAGCGAATCAGGCATGAGAAGCGTTAACGGAAGTGAGGGAGGTAAACAAATGATTTAAAATGGAAGATGGAAGAACACACGGACAGCTATTTCACCCTCATCGCTTTATAGAGTCTCCTGTTCGTTCATGTTTTCAATGGACGGAGTGAAAATGGAAAGAAAAACGCTATTTGTTGTTTGTTTAATATCACGGAGTCTGTTCTTCTTCTCTGTCTTCCGGGTTGGTTGCCTCCTTTTGAATGATTGAATACACACTACCGCCGCCTGCCGTAAGGAGAGTTATTGGCCACTCACCGCATACGCCAGTTTCATACGTGCTCGGCTCGGATTTGCGGTGTGTTCCAGTGCCGAAGTCGCAAATTAGCAAGGAGAGTCCGGCGACCGCAACAGTCGGGTCGGCGACTTCTCAGGTGACCTGGCCCGCGGTGTATCTGGGCCTGTAAAAGAACACACCTGGTCCACCAACCTCAAACCAGTCACACTCCCAAACTCCACACCTATGGCCAAGAACAAAGAGCTGTCAAAGGACACCAGAAACAAAATTGTAGACCTGCACCAGGCTGGAAGACTGAATCTGCAATAGGTAAGCAGCTTGGTGTGAAGAAAACAGACTGTGGGAGCAAATTATTAGCAAAATGGAAGACGTACAAGACCACTGATAAAATCTCCTCGAATCTGGGGCTCCACGCAAGATCTCAAACCCGTGGGGTCAAAATGATCACCAAAGAACGGTGAGCAAAAATCCCAGAAACCACCACCAGGGGGATCCTAGTCANATCATCAATGAGGCCACGAGATACGTTTGTGCACAGATGGAAGGCTGAAAGGCAGGTAGGCCATCCAGTTATTTTAGCCGGGCCGGCTAAAATGATTGGTCGTGCTTTTTACAGCGCTACGGCTTCCAGAGATACATTTTTGTAAGTATTTATTGTCAAAGCATTTAATATATTCATTGCTATCGGGACATTAAGAGCATTCCATGGTAAATAACAAAAAGTGTTTTCTGAAATAAATTACATACCCCATTGAATTATGACGGAAGATTGTCAGCTGTCTTCCTCTCCCTTGTTGTTCCTCGATACGTAAAGGCAGCAACACCGTTGACAACTTCTCTCTACATATCAAGCATACCGGTAAACCAGCATCGTTTGCTGTTAAACAGAACTCTGTCCACGCAGAATTAAATCCTGTGTTCCTCCGATACTTTTCTTTGATTTATCCATAGTTCGCTCATCGAGCCGGGGGTCAGGTTATTCGCCAGCAAGAAAAGGCGCTAGCGCGGGACCGTAGCAGGATGTGACGCATATTTTAGTTGACCTAATTAAAACCGTTTTGTTTTTTTATTTATGTGTCACAATTTATGTGTCACAGTATCACCTCAAAATACAAGACACGAAACATTTTCAACCATGCAACAAAATATAAATAGTCCTACAAATACTTTTATTTTATTTCCTTCTTATTTTTGTCTAAGCTCAAGGGAGCCAGAGCAGAGGGCTTAAAGGGCCGCATGCGGCTTAAAGGGCCGCATGCGGCTCGAGGGCCGCGGGTTGCCGACCCCTGGCCTAGACATAGCCTGCCCTGGGTACAAGCTGGGACCCTCTCTGGCACCAGATACAGTGTGTGGTGCTGACCGTCAAACCCATGGAGCTTGGCACTGCTCCGAGCCCAGACCAGAGCCCTTTCCCTTGGCAGGAGGAACAGGCAGGCTGTTGGGTACTCAGCTGGTTGAGGTCAAATGTGAACACAAGCGTAGAATCCATTCACTGTATATATGAGGTGGAAACACATAAACACAAACCGGGGCTCAATAGGGCTCCAGCGTTGCACACAAACACTCAAACTCACCCTCTTTTCGGAGCAGAAAATCCTTATTAACTTGCCTGTCAACACTGAGAAGGACAGAGAAAGAGAAATGAGAAAGCGCTCTCTGCCCCCACAGGGCCAAGGGCAGACCCACACCTCTCAGAATGACAAGAGCTTGCGGTGAAGACGATGATGGCTATATTCACAGAGTGTAGCAGTTACAGAGGTCAGAAGTGGAGACATGTGTTCCTTGTCAACAGGAGTCGTTCTTGACTCTTTCCTTTTCAGCTCAAAGCTTTAGTAGGGGCTGAAAGTAGAGGAGTCGCTGTGTGGGAATCCACTAGAGAAGCGTTGCAGAGATCAAGCAGGCTTTGTGGATGTTTAACAAAATAGCATATAAGTGAATTAGGCCTTGAAAGTGCAATATTTCTTCCAAGAAAATCAGAAACAGGAGCTGAAATCTTGATGGACATCATTCGATTAAATATAACTTTCCCTTAAAACTGTTAAAAGAGGCAAGATTACAAAGTATCACAAGTGATAAAACTTTGAGGATCCTTTAGTCTTAAACAATGTGCTTTCGCATCGCTGCTACAGTAACACTGCTTCACAGGCTGATGGAAACAAAACAAAAAAATGAAACTTTTGACCTAAAACTCATGGTTTAGATAGTCACTCTTTTAAGAAATTAACCATGTCCCTCAGAACAAAGCCAGTACTTTTAAATTATTGGTAAAGATGCCAGGAGAATTTGCATACCCAATATAACTAGACACTAGCAACTACTGTGAAGGTATTAATATTAAGGTAAATAAATTAGGTTACGGTGCGTGTGATTCTCTTTTAAAGATTAGGGCTGCATATTAGCATTTACTCATGCAGGCCTTTATTAAAGCTCACTTGTGGTATACCTGTACCATATGGGTATTGGGTGCTGAAGCTTAAGGTCATATCTCTCTATTCAAATGCATGTCAGTGGAATGGATTAGCCCTACTTGAAATGAGACGCGTATGAATGCATAAAGGTGTGTGCAGCGCTTGCTGTATGAATGCACAATTGCCTGCATGTGTGTTGCAGGCTGAGATGGTACCAGGTGAGGTGGCAGCACAACCAAACACACACATAGAGGCCTATCTGATGAAAGCTAGGTACCAGAATAACTGTCAAAGCCGCACCAGAGATGCACCCAGTCATCCAATGTCAAATGTCCTGGTCACCCACCTGCACTACTAAACAGTGCAACCCCCCCCTCTACTCATACACACACATAAATGCAAACGGGAACCCAGCCAACCAGACATCCAAACTGTTCATAAAAGAGAACAAACCCAGTGTTCAGTTGACAAATGTGGGGCTTCCTCCGCCCGCCACACCGCCTGTTCGACCTTGCTCTGGATCAAACATGACACAGGTGGCACAGCAGTGTGGCAAGTAGCAGAAAGAGCCACAAATAGGAAGCTGCTGCTACACATTTAACAAGTTACTGTGCCTGCAGTGTATTCTGTGTGTTGAGCACTGAAAGGCATTCAGCAGGGACAGGTGCTACCTGGGTCTGGCTGGTTAAAGTGGCCAGTGAGGGGAGGAAAGCAGGTGAAAGCTGCGGCTCCGCTGTTGTACTGCTGTGATGATGGAGAACTGCAGTACTAACAATCATGGCTAAGTTTGCATACCTTACTGACCCTGAGGTGGAATATTTGCATACAGAGTGTAGAGATAGCATTTCGTAGTGGGGGAATTTATGGTGGTTGATAGGAAGGGAAGCGGCTTACTTCTGGCAGAGCTGGTTGAAGAGGATCTTGGGATTGACCGGGCCTTTCCCTGGGTCCTTCATGCTCTGGAGGAAGAGAAACATGGCCGCCGTCAGGGGCTCTGGGCTGGGCAGCATTACTGTCAACGGACCCTGGAACGCAACAGACAGAATACAATTTAGAAATTAATTTCCACATTTAATGTGCAAATAAAAGCTATAATGTATCAGTTTTATTTTAAACATGTGCTGAACTTTTTTTTACATTTAAAGGTTATATGTATGTACTTCTATAGGACATTTTCATGACGTCGTCACATTAAAATAATTAAGAAGAAAATGTTTTATTGAGGTTATGAAAATGTATTTATGGCGCTGTTAGATTGCTTCTAGACTGACTCGCTAAAAAGGTGTGTTCCTCCCTATGTGTGTAGCAAGCAAAAGAGCCAACATGTTTTTAACCACTGGGAAAATGTTAGTTTAGCAAGGCTATATATAAAAGGTTGCTAAATGTTGTCGATTCTGGAATAATAATAATTCATTTTAATTTGTGACATTTGGTCTTTACTATGCTCTGGGATAATTACATTTGTTTGGATCACACAAGCCCGAAACAATCCTATGCAGCCACCCCTTTAATCTAATTCCACAAATATTATAATACTACATGGAATTTCAATATAAGTGAATGTTGATTGAGAATTTGAGAGAATCAACATTATAAATATGAGCAATTCGGCACGGACTTAGTTTATATACTTAAGACATATGTTTGTGTTTGTAAGTTACATGACTTACATTTAAAACTTAGTAATTAAAATGATACATTTTCAGTTTATGTTACTAATGAATGCTATTAATACTACAGGGAACATTGAGTTACACAGAAGCTTCATTAGAATGATCATTTCAAAAGTAGTCAATCTATTGATAGTTTGTAGAAAACTATGGCTTAGAAAATAGAAAAGACAGCAAAGCAGAATGTACCACATTGGTTTCACCAGTGGGGCTGATCCTCAGTTTGAAGCCTTTCTCCTTCACTTCCTGGATGAGGTCGATTAGCATGTGTGTCTGAGACAGGTTCTGCAAGGAAAACACATTTTATTACTAACATTTTATAAACAATTTTAAAAATCCATCCCGTTATAAATGCCATTAGGTATAGGTAAGATCAACACATTTCAAGAGGCTGAATACTGCTCATGCAATCAGCAACAAACTGGTCATAAAAAACTATGAAATGATGAATCCTTCTAAATATATTAAACTGTATACACACAGCTTGTGGCAATTCAATGTGGTCATTTGAAATGAACCTTGTGAAATGTTATCTCCATTGCGGTAGGGTTTAGGAAACTTGTGGTAAGTTCATTATTCTGAAAGAGCCTTTCAAATGAATCCATGATCTCTGAGTTTGAAATTAACAGAGTATCCTTGGTGAGGAGAGGAGACTGAAGCAGCCATTGTCCCTACATGTTAGAAAACATATTTTCCTCTCCCCTTTTCAAAAGATGGTTTTTGTCACATCCTGGCAATGAAGACAGTTGCTATGGAAAACGCACAATGGGGCCCGGCATTGTGAATACACACACAGCTCATCCTCAGACAATTATGTGTTTTCACCCAAAAAAGATTGCAATTTTCAAGGAGACAATACAAACCGACAGAGAGAGGGAGAGAAAAGGCATGTAAAGCGCGCTCACTCCTATGTCAATCAACAACGAAGGCCCCGAGGGTGATTAACAAAATGGTGGAAAAAAACAGCTTCATTGTTAGGCGGCATGTTGCTTTGCAGTCACCATGACACGACCAGAGAAAGACTGGGGCGCTCTATAGCTGCGTTGTATGGTGAAAATGCTCTGCACCAACTGAGTACCACTCGTGTTCCGGAGGTAAACTCCACACTGCATTTACGGCTGCATTGGATATACTTCAGAATGACCTCAAGGCCTTTTTACACTCATGGTCAGTAAGACTGTAATTTAGTTTACTAAAGGTCGGTCTTCTTGGCAGCAGCACTTGAGGATTGTTTTCGCATTATAAAAAAGGCATACATATTCATTTTGTCATGTTAAAATGGAAATCCCTGAGACTCATTAAGCTATCAAAGGGTCTCTTGAGATAAGCACGGATTTGCTAGCAGGTTGTGTGCATTTAGAAATCCATCTTAAGACCATGCTTCAGATTTAAGATGACACTTTGATCACACCTACTTATGTTATTTTGACAGACTAAATAGTGTAATATAACTTCAATGAATTTCAAAAAGGCATGATGCTTTGTTTCTTCTCTAATGCTGCGTTCACATCGGACGCGATGCAATGTTTGGGGGCGGCGCGATTACATGTAAAGTCAATGCAGAGACGCGGACAGACGCAAATTCATTCCGACTGCAAGCATGAATCACGCGATTGAAGGGGGCCGCGTCAAACGCGAGAGTTCAATTTTTTCAACTCGAGCGCCAAATTCACGTGACGCGTTCTCGCGAAAGCCAATCAGCGTTGGGATTCCCTCTGACGTCCTTCTGACGTCCTGCTGTTGATCAGTTATAAAGATGGAAGAGATGATCGTTGTGGCTGTGAGTGGGTTCCCGGAGATATACGATACACTTCCACAGAAGGTACAAAGCAGCAATAGTTGTTCCTCCATAGTCAAGGACAGAAATAACCAAAACGATCTTGCATGGAAGTGTAAACAACCTCAACTTCCGTCCGGCGCGTCAACGGTATGTCTGTTTTGAATGACGCGATATAACAAACTGCAAGCCGCGGTGAAACTCGAGCATTTAGAGCGAAACGAATATTCAGATCGCGTCCGGTGTGAACGCAGCATTATAGGTACATAACATAGTTATGTATAAACTAACTCATGGTACGGCACTACAATTAATTCAATAAATAAAAATAGAAATATGGACAAGTGCAATGTTCAAACTACAGGAAGCACAATATTTGTTGAAGGCTTAATATATGTTATGTCTTATGTGCCAAAGACATTCCGGCCTACAAATCATCTCTCCCTCATTTTCTACATAATTGTCAAAACATATTAGTGTGGTAAAGATCATATTAAAATGTCTGAAAAATCTTAATTTAAAAAAAGTTAGTGATAATGAGAATAACGATTTAGAAAATGATTATTCTCTTTAATAGTGTGAATCATATTGCAATTAAAATATCAGTTAAAGTCATGGCAACAAGTTATTTTTTCGAAATGGTGCAGCCCTAAATCAGAGCCATACTAACCTGCATGACAGCATTAAAGAAGCAGGTGTTCCCGAGGTTGTTTATGCCTTTGACGGGGACCAAGGTGCTGTTGGTGGCAGGACTCTTGCCTTTGGCCGAGTCGGCATAATCTGATGGATCCTCTTGCAGCTTGATGATTTTGGGTGATGCTCCTGAAAAAATGATAAAACATTAAGTGATACAGAGTAGCAGCAACTCAAAAACGATTGGGGAAATTGTTCAAGAGATTATCAGTGCCACCTGTTTTGTTTCTTTTCAAACTTTCATTCATTTTTCTTTTGGTGTGAAGCATTTATGTCTTTATAAAAAAAAGGTTTGTTATTGTGATCACATAAATCAAATCAAATTATACAGGCGTGTGCCGGTTTTGCCCGCAGTGAAATGTTGTACCTGAAATCCTACAATAATGGATTCAATCAGAATATTTGGTCCATTCAAAAAAAAAAAATGTGGACCACAGGGGCCAAATCCACCCAATCCGCAGCCATCACTGAAATCTAATTCTACAGATAAGATAATAATAATAATATAAGTGTAACCTAATCTTTATTTTTTACTGCGCAGAACTCGATTGTTGATTTAGAATTTGAATGTGAACATTATGAGTGAAGTTTCAAACCATCCTGTACAGCCGTAATGGGCAGTCTTTGAAATTGACCAAATAATCTGCTTCTAAACCCTGATTTAGCTTTTACTTTGAGGTTATTTAGGCTAAATAAGTCTTGTCAGCGAAGGTTTAAGATAGAGCTGAGGCGGTGGCAGAGATGGCAAGTTGTTTGAGACTGAGGGTAAAAGTCTGTATCCTTTAAATTGAGATGTTGTCAGGATACAGGAAAACTATTGGGCTTAGCCTTGAAGCGAGACTGGGCTGGGAGCAGGGTGCTGCGCCGGCAGCTGGAAGGAAAGCTGGGTCATTTGGGAAAGCAGATGACAGCTGTAGAAGTTTCCGCTGGTTAGTGTGGAAAGGGTGGGGGCTGGGGTTAGAGAGATGGCTCTCCAGAGCCAGCTGTTACTCCTGATCACCAATGAAAACCTAACCTTAAACACAAACTAAGACACAGATGGTCTGAATCAGACAGTGACTTGCAGAGTAGGTAGTGGAGCTATGCAAACTGAGGCATGCCAGCAGATAACAAAAAAAGCCAACACCATGATGACTCAATATCAATAACACTGTTTCTGATACATCTTCGTAGCAACAGATTTCAACTAGTAAGGAACCCTGGAAAATGGAGATGAAAGAATAAGAGGATTAAGCCCTCATGCACAACATTGTGTTGATCTAAACAATGTGGCCAAAACAATAATTTGTCAGCATGTTTAAAAGAAGGTTTAAAGCCACAGTTTGGGCGCTAACAGCAACACTTTGCTTTAACAATCTGTTCCACACTTCAACGGATAATGGATATTTCCTATTTTCTTAAATCTTTAAATGATTAACGTAGTGTATGTCTAGGGCTAAAATTGTGAACTGTAAAAACTTAGGGAAGAAGTGTATGTACTAGGGATGGGAACGATTAATAGAATATTAGAAATTATTCAGGTATTCCAATATGAGTTATGAATATATATATATTTTTTTATAAATAACTTTTTTTTTGGGTGGGGTGCATAAGTTGATTACATATTATCAAATGGAATAAATAAATGTATACGACAGTGCCATAGCTAAGTGTGTTAGGTCTAAAGGTGTGCTGCCCCTCCCTACTCACAGATCATGCAGACTCAAACCTCATCTTATGCCCAAATTCCAGCTGAGAGGGTCTTCTCTACAGCTGGCCTGATTGTGAATCGTCTCAGCCCCCGTCTCTCCCCTGAGCATGTAGACATGCTCATATTCTTAAACAAGAATGAGTATTGAATAGCTGCATTCTGTGCATAGGCCCTGTTATAGGTTGTCGATCTCTGTTGTAATAGGGTTACCCTAACCCGTTATGTTGTTCGTGTATGATCCCTCTTTCATTTAAAAAACAAGTTATGTTTTAAGCATGAAAGCTGTAGGCCTATAGCTGTCAACTGTTCAAACTGTGATCACCAGTTCAATACATTTAACAGATTTGGCTTGGTTTCTATACTGTATTTATTTAAAAAAAAAAAAAAAATGTATTTTTGTTTTTTGTCAACATTTTTCCCACTTTTGTTTTTATAGGATATGTACATTTCGGTTAATCGGCTAACCGTTTTATTTGCTTTCAAATTCCCATCCCTAGTATGTACGCTGTCTTTGTCAGGTGTCAAAGGAATAATACAATTTGATGTCTAGGTTTGAACTACAGATACTTATTTGTTTTATAAACCTCAGCTACACTTGCACATTGTATCTTTGAATATGTTAATTTCTTCCATACAAAGTGATTAATTGATGCATTTGTTCACGGTTATTCACTTTTTGAAATAAATAAGTAATATTCGCCTAAAAACAAAGATAATAGTTTGGAAAAGTCTATTGACCTTACCAGATTCAGTCATAAAGAAACACTTTTGTACCATTCTACTTCCTTATTTCCTTTTACATCTTAAGTATATTGTATTTTGCATTGTTGGAGGAGCCATTGCCAACAACTAAACTGTAGCTATTGTGCATATGGCAATAAAGCCTTTAAATCCTTTGAACAGAGTTGAAACAATGTCTCTTTTTTAAAGCAGGCTTTTCAGAATATGGAGGATTTAAAGAGTTTAGGTATGAATACATTAATTTAAAGACTATTGTGCTTTTTGAAATCTTCAATAAATCATAACTAGACTTCTAGGCTCCCTGCTTTCTATGTCAAATTGGTAGTTGCGGTTTGAAGAGGGGTGGAATGTCTGTGTGAGAACACTATAACACTATGTTGAGAAAGAATGAAGAAAAGGAGGCGGTGCTAATGGGTTTAAAGTAAAGGGAGGAATATGAGTGAAGCAATGAATGGAAGATACCTTAGAGGTGCTAATTGAGACGGAGATGTGTTCACTCAATGTGATATTGGAGAAGTTTGGCCCTTCCAAAAAGAAAATCCCAGACGCCTAGCTTCATGCAAATTATCATTGGCTTCAGGATGAATAAATGACAAGATCAGTATAACATGGTCGTTCTGACAAAATCTTGAAATGTGTGACTAGCCAACTAAAATACGTGCATTGTTTCTAACATGTATGTTTAAAATAAAGAATTAACTCCCAGAGATGGTCACTTTTCGTTGTGGAAAAAAAGGTTGTTCTATCCCATTATGCAATAACGAGAAACTGAGTTAGAATTCCTGAACCTTTCCTGCAGAATTTCCACAATTTTCCACAATTTCTGCAGCCTTCATGATTTAAAAAGATAGAAACTGCTGTATACTATAATCACAAGTATATACTATATAATCAGAGACACATTGATGGCTTAAAAGTGTACGTAGTTATTCATATTTGATTGATATTGTCTTGGTAGGAATGTTCTTTAATTTTTTTGGGGGGAATTATTGTGAGCAGTTAAATATATCTTTGTCATTTACTGGTTGTGAAAATAAATAATGAGATTTTAGCCCTTTAAATGCAAATCTTGTGTTTCTTTACACATTTTCGAACATTTCCAAAGCGCATTATACAGTTAAAATAAATTTGTTCTACCTTTCCTGAGCTGAAAATCAACTAACTATCAAACTGTACTGCATACATTGGAGCATCTTTGAACACACCAACATGAGGAGAATGCACAAGCTGCTCCATCGCAAATGGAGCCACATGACATGATAAACTAATATTTAAATGCTTCTTAACTATGTTACAGGACATTACAAAAACAAAACAAAACAAATATTTGGTGTTGTTCAGAATATTGATAAGGTTATATCATTTTCTTACAATTTCCTTTACTGCAAGGAGATGATTAGACATGTTAACTCAAAATGAAACATTCTTGCAGGGGTTGATGGCAGTATCTTATGGCCTTGCAAGCTGTAGAGGAATCAACTAAATGCTGGTAAACACAAAAAAAAGTTTGGTCCATGAGCACTTCACCCATGTAAGCTAGTCAAGAGAGCAGGCCGGCAGCGAGGTCAGTGGCCTGAACCTGCTTCTGTCTAAACTAAGGAAATTCAATTGAACCGTCAACCATCATAATCATCCTAATAACCTGCACCTTTACTCCTGCCGTTATTCTCCTCAACATTCAATGGCCTTGCCCTTGAACATTTTCAATTCATAGAACCACTCCTTGTGTAACAGATTTTTTTGAAAAAAAGCTATTCAACCTGCAAGCGGTGGTAACTCCACTGCTGGCCGCTACCCCGCGAAGCATTCTCCCTCTTCAAGGCCAAGGACATTAGCGGAATGTGAACTGGGGGCTTTTCACTCGTGGCCTGGCAATTTGCATTTTATTCTCTATCAAATTCAACTCAAAAGGAACGAGGGGAAAAGGGCAGCTTTTCTTGTTAAACAGCTTTGAGACGGAAAGAAAAAAGCAGCTACTTGAACACACACACACACACACACACACACACACACACACACACACTTTCAGGACAGCCTCCATGAAAGTGGATATGTCGGAGTGATTTTACCACTGCCAGATGCACAAGCTACTCTACATTAACATTCTCCCAATCATTGCTTCACCAAAACTTATTATTATTATTATTATATGTATTTGTTTATTTATTCGACCACATGTTAATTCAAACTAACTTATTATTTAAAATCATCACTATAAAACAAACACACACGATCGAAACAGATGATGAAACGATGATGGATCGAGTTTAAGTGTACCGATGATCATAAGATACTTACATTAATAACCCACAAAGTGACCAAATCTGATCCTGGCTGGTTTCCTGTGGATGTTATTCACTAATTCTTACTACTATTTGTGTATTTAATGTATTTATAAACTGTGAATATGTATGTTAATGTATTGTAAGAGTGTACTTTTGTTGACACTTGTTAAGATCAGTGTAGATATCTCGGGCAGCTCCAGTCTTTCACTGAATAATTAGATTAATAAAAGCTAAATGAATCAGTGAACATGATGAGGCGCATAATAATCTATTATTTCTAATTGAGATGACAGTAGACACAGGTGTGACCAGGTGTGAGGAGTGGAGAGAGGAAGCAGTTCTCCTCTCTGCCACTCGGAGGCGCTACAGAGTCACCCTCCTCCTGTCACACACCCCTCACCCATTCATCTGCT